ACTCAAAATAAATATGGGACTAAGAAATTCCAGATAGTTTATGACTGAGACAACAAGGAATGACATAATCTATTTAGAGTTAGCCTAGCAAAGGGGAGTTAAAGCTCAAATGATAGAGGATATTAATTTTTTACTTTTAAGTTTACTTTAGAACAGTGTTTCCCAACCTTGGCAACTTGAAGATGTCCGGACTTCAACTTCCAGAATACCCCAGCCAGCGAATGCTGGCTGGGGAATTCTGGGAGTTGAAGTCCGGACATCTTCAAGTTGCCAAGGTTGAGAAACACTTGACTTAAGAAGTCCGGATGAGTTCAAAGGAATCTTTGAACTGGGAGTTGAAGCCCGGACATCTTCAAGTTGCCAAGGTTGAAAAACACTGCTTTAGAATATCTTCGTTAAAGATTTATACCCTGTATTGGTTCTGGGAAGTCGGGGGGAGGGAAGGTTGGGAGGGGTGGGGTTTGGATGGGGAGGGTAGGGGGAGGGAAGTAAACATTTGTAAAAGGGTTTTTTTTTAATTTTCAATAAAAAAAAAGAGATGCTGTATTTAATAACACCTGGGGATGAAATGACTACAGATCCTTAAGTCTCTGAAGAAGAGAAGTGGACCAGACCACCTCTCCTCTTTTTACATACGAGAGGAGATGAACAGCATCCGCACGTTGCTTGATGAAGTTCTGCCGATATCGGGAAAACTCGTGAAGCATCTTCCGGGGGTCCTGGTGGACATGGATACGATCTCTGTCTGACCAGGTTTCGACAGCAACTAGAACAACTCTGGTGTTTAGTTGCTCTTTGTAAATCTGTGGGGAGAGACACCACAAGCACAGGAGTGGAAGACTGGGTCAAACATGCACAGTTAGCCAATCAATCAGTGGAAAGACAAACAGGGTAAAGTAGGAGAGAAACATTGGAATATAATTAGATATTATACTTCCCTAATAATCAATGCTCCATTAAATTTACAGTAATGTCAATACTACAAAAGGCTGCATAATTATCAGTGCACGAGTATGTAATATTTACTATAGAGTTTGCGGCAGGGAATCATAAAAGCAGTTGAGAATGGACAGGCCTCATGCTTGTGAGATTTTGTTTGTGTTTTAATTATAGCAATAGCAATAGCAGTTAGACTTATACACCGCTTCATAGGGCTTTCAGCCCTCTCTAAGCGGTTTACAGAGTCAGCATATTGCCCCCAAC